AGATAGATAGATAGATAGATAGATAGATAGATAGATAGATAGATAGAGCAAGCATACTAGGAATAGATCTGAGCAAGAGAAATGTTGGTCTATAATTAGGTGGCCTAATCACCTGTGTAAATTGTGTATTTCTTATGATCGATGTGCTAAACGGCTCAGGCTTAATTAAGCTTTGCTGACTCTCCCCCTTTGAAGGCCCACTGGAGTGTGATGACACAGCTCTCACAATTAATAAAAGTACAGGAGAAACTCAGAAGGAGGCATTTCCCTGCTGGCATCTCTCTCCTTCTTCCCTTCCTCCCACTACAGCTCCTCTGCTCCACACAGACACATGTAGATGCACATTTCAACCCCCCCTTGCTTCTCTTTGAATGGGCTGGGTTTTGACAGAGTGGAAGATAAGTAGGCCATACAGTGAATAAAGTGATGGGCTTGGAGTCAGGAAGACCTGAATTCAAATCCAGCTTTAGATACTTAATAGCTGGGCAAGTTATTTAACCACTCTGCGCTTCAGTTTCCTCATCTGCAAAATGGAGATAATAATAGCACCTCCCAGGCTGTTGTGAGGTTCAAATAAGATATCAGTATATTCTAAACCTTCTAAACCAACAACCTACACTGGCTATGGACTCCCTGACATGGTAGAGAGAGGCCTAGATGGGGGAGGTCGTGGCTTAACCCATGAGAAGGTCTTACTGTTTGAAGGAATTTTTGGAGAAGTCACCTGATCATTAAGCAACTATCTAACCTTGGATGAAGCACTTCCTCATTATGTCCCCTCACCCCTCCCAGCTCTGACATTCCCTGTTTTAAGGCCCCTCCCAGTTCTGACACTCCCTGTTCTAAGGCCCTTCCCAGCTCTGACATTCCCTGTTCTAAGGCCCCTCCCAGTTCTGACATTCCCTGTTCTAAGGCCCCTCCCAGTTCTGACATCCCCTGTGCTAAGGCCCCTCCCAGTTCTGACATCCCCTGTTCTAAGGCCCCTCCCAGCCCTGACATCCCCTGTGCTAAGGCCCCTCTCAACTCTGACATCCCCTGTTATAAGGCCCCTCCCAGCCCTGACATCCCTTGTGCTAAGGTCCCTCCCAGTTCTGACATTCCCTGTTCTAAGGTCCCTCCCAGCCCTGACATCCCCTGTGCTAAAGTCCCTCCCAGTTCTGACATTCCCTGTTCTAAGGTCCCTCCCAGCCCTGACATCCCCTGTTCTAAGGCCCCTCCCAGCCCTGACATTCCCTGTTCCAGGGCCCCTCCCAGCTCTGACATTCCCTGTTCTAAGGCCCCTCCCAATTCTGACACTCCCTGTTCTAAGGCCCCTCCCAATTCTGACATTCCCTGTTCTAAGGCCCCTCCCAGCCCTGACACTCCCTGTTCTAAGGCCCCCCCCAGCCCCGACATTCCCTGTTCCAGGGCCCCTCCCAGCTCTGACATTGTATGTACTATGGTCTTCTCCCGGTTCTATCATTCTTTATTCTATGAAGACTCAACTCCCAGTAGAGCTTTTCCAGGTCACACCGATTTGTTCTCTCACTAAACTCATCTTTCACTTCTTATTTACACTTGTACCCTTCAAAATTTGGTTATATCCAATCTTATTCTGTAATGTATTTCTTACATGCACATCTTGCACATAGTAAGCCCCTAACAAGAAAGAATTGTTTTATTTAATGTACTTGTACCCTCAGCAGCTAGAACAGTGTCTAGTGCAGAAGAGTCCATTAATAAATGTTTGTCGATTGACTTGTAGATTGGTTGAGGCTTAGGGACAGGCAGAATCTGAC